GCCACCGCCAAGGCACTTATTGATGTGCATGATGGTAAACTGATCCTGCGTGCTGGGAATGAACAGGCTACTTTTTCTGTGGCTGAATTTGATCACTGTGCTATGATTGCTGTCACGCCTGTGCATGCTATGTCTGATCAGGTACACGAGCCTGTTGTGTACCCTTCTGCACCTCTTATTTTGCAGGACCCTCCTATTATTCCTTCGCCGCCACTCCATCCAGCCTCACCTCCGAACAAAAAGCTCAAGGAGGAGTGGCGGCCGAAGCAGCAGGTTGCTAAGCCTGCACGGAAGAAGAGTGGAGACCACTATGAGCTGGTCCCACCTCCGGCACCACGACCACCCTGGCCGTCTGGGTACTCACTCGCCTGCATCTTGCCGGATGGCCAGGTCGAGCTTACCGATGATGGTGGTCGCATCCGTCGGGTGCATGGCCACAACCTGAAGCTGTACCTCAAGAGCGATGTGGATCCGCTCTTGGAGGCACCTGTTCCTGCACCTCCCTGAGTATCCACCATGGGCGTCCAGCTAAAAGACGGTAAAGAAGCGCTTGTGGGGAGGCAACCCCACCACGGTTTGATTTTCTTTCTTGTGTTTTGAGTCGGATTGTAAACCAGTTTGGTTTTGGTTTGATTTCTTTTGTTTTGGATGATGTTTTATTGGGCTGACCATTGGACCTAACATATTGTGTTTGAGCTCTTTGGTTTCCTTTGGCTGTGCTTGTCTTGACTGGTACTCTCTCCAGTCCGCTTCCAGTCTCCTGCAGTCCGTGCATACCGGTAACATCGTTCCCTTTTCCTTCCCTCTTCTCCATTGAGGGCAATGTCGATCTTAAGTGTGGGGGGATGTTTATCTTTTGACTGCATTAGATCTGTTTGTGTGCTTGGAGCCTAGTCCACTGTCCAAATTTTTAAATTTGAGGGCTCCAAGTACGTGTTTCCTTGCAATTGCCTGCTCAGTATGCTTTGAATTGACAGTCTTTATAGTAATATGCAACCTAGGGAGGTAGTGTAGCACTATGGAGGATGTTGATGCATTTAAGAAATCTCATTTCTTCTTCATATTGTGTTGGTTGATTGAGTGAATTAGTGATCTTAGGACCCTTGAATTGTGTGGTGTTGTGGATTCTCTACCTGTCATGGACTCTTGTTTCATGTTTTAAGTTTAACAGGTGCTCGAAAATGTGCTTCAAAATAACGTCTCCCGTGCGAATAGGGCGAAAGTGTGTAAGGGGAGACGGGAATTCGTTCCCAATTTCCACCTACTACCTCCATCCCCATTACATGTCTTTCCCCCGCACGAGGCTCGAGACATCCGCTCCTGGCATGGCCGGTAAGAGCAGGTTGGGACCCTTGAAAGAAAAAAAAAGAAAATAAAATAACAGAAAACAAGCAAAACAGAAAGAAAAGGGGTTCCAACCATCTTCAAGAAGAAAATAGAGCACCTTGAAAAATGTGAGTCCATGATCCTTTGTTTTTTAGAATCTCTTCATCCACAATTCATTTGTCCTCTGTTCACTGTTTGCCATGATGCCGACTCGATACTAGTGCTCTCGCCGAAGAAGCTATGAGATGACTTGTGCGTCGGTTGACCTCGTAAGCTGCTCAATGATCTAGGAAGTCCTCTACCTACGATCTGGGGTGTTTGTTGCTATAGAGGTCTATAGAGTTGCATTGGTTTGAGTTAGGTTTGCTTGGGGACAAGCAAACGGTTAAGTGTGGAGGAGTTTGATAGACCGTTAATTACACATGTTTTCACCCCTGTTCTAACACCGTTTGAGATGTGGTTTCTCCTGTTTTAGACCGATTTCACGCTAGGTTGTGCTTGTTTGTGATATTTCAGGTCCTGGCAAGTGAATGAAGGTTTAGGAGCGAGTTCGGGGTCGATTGGGCGAAGATCGGGCGCGAGGCAAGTCACAAAGGAAGTCGCACGGGCACACCCACAACCCGCACGGCCGTGCAAGTGACCAATTTGGCCGTGTGGGATTGTGCGAGAGCAAACACGGGCAGAGCAGAAAATCTGCACGGCCGTGCAAGGTGAGCTGCACGGCCGTGCGACCCTGGCCGTGCAAGAAGCCTGGAATTCAACTAATTGATGCGCTGCGTTTTGACTCGCACGGGCAACTGGGTGAGCCACACGGCCGTGCCACCCTGGCCGTGTGAGTCGGGATTTTCTGCTTTTAAGCAGATTTTCAGCCACAAGTCGGGGGGATTCGAGTTTTTGAGAGACAGAACGATTCCTAGAGAGAGAAAGCGACGAACAAGAGTCTCCAAGTGCCCTAGATTGATCTTCAACACCATTGGAGGCCAGTTTGAGCTTGGAGGAGTGCCAATCAACGTCCAGGAGCAGCAATCCATCCTTCACAGTATGAATTCCGCGTCTGATTTTGCTTTTGCTTCTTTCTCCATGGAGTAGTTCTCCCATTCATCTGGGTATGGAGAACTCTAGATTTGTATGTTAGGCTTTGATTGTATGAACCCAAGTACTGATTCTATGATTGATTATATTCGATTGAGGTTTGAATGATTGAATGACTTGAATCCTGATCAAATTCCTGTTGTTTCTGCTTTAACCTAGAATGAGAATATCTGCCTAGGTTGATAGAGCATCCTTGATTGAAGGTAGGGAGTTGGTGACTTTAGTCGAGGAGCCAACTCACTATTCTGTACCGGATTTACTCCGGTAGTGGAGGTTTTGTTTGTTAAGGCCTCAATCTGTTTACTCCGGTGGAGGTTAGTCGCCCGCTAGAGACTCAGATTGAGAGGGTCTGAAGACCTTTAGTCGAGACTTCAGGCTGTTTAAGAACCTTCATAGAAACTGAACTTGGTAATTACAAACCGGCTTAACTGCAGTCTAGGGGGAACCATATCTGGGTGACCTCTCTTAACTTGAATACAACAGTTTACTTGCTTTGTTAATTTGTTAGCTTAGACTTGCATTAAAGTTTCATTGCTAGATAACAAGAATTCACTGAGTAGTCATCAAATCTAGGACCCGGGTTGATAATTAAACCCAAACCCGCTATACTACGCTTTAGGAAGTGGTTACACTTGGCCAATTCCTGGAGTGACAGTAGAAGTGAGTCAGTTGGCTTGGCATATGTGGAGTCATATATCAGGTCATGTCATGTCGTGTCGCCTTGTCCCAAGTGGCCAATAGTTGGTGTGATAGCCATGACATGTGGGCATGTTGCCTTAGAGATGAGTGATGGCTACTCTAAGTATGTAGAATAAAACGAAGATAAGGGTTTCTATTGATTCGTTGAAGACAAACCAACAATACAAGGGTTAAGTGGCTTTGATAGCATGCCACAAAAATATATATGTTAAAAATGTTTTGGCTACTACTCCAACCACCGGAGCTTTTGTGCCCAGATCGCCTTCCCTCCATGTTGAGATCGCCTTCCCTCTAAGTCGTTGGAGTCTTCTTCGTTTCCCGACCAGCTCTTGGTCACTTTGTCAATCAGTCGACGACATTGTTGCTCTACCTATGCTGTGTCGTTGTTTTTCGATTCGGATTGTAGAATAGAGAAGAGGAAGAGCAATGAGAGGAGACGGGTGAAAACTGAAATGAGGAAGAAAGCCACGGAATGAAAAAAATTGGAGGTAGGGTTTCTTTATAGGGCTTATTATTCGTCATTCAAAAATTCCTTATTCATTATTAAGTTAATTTTACTTTAATACCCTTAATTCATTTATTTATAGTTTAAACACTTAAACCCAGGAATTGAGAACTTATTTGGCAGCCCATCATGAGCCAGCAGAGCTTTGTAAATCTTCATCACTACATCCTTCCGATCATCTACTTCAAGAAGTGGAGCAAACTTATTATCGAACACAGGTTGAGGATTACTTCTCCAACGATGTCTCCAGTATCTTTACAAGAGGCTAGTTTTTAGCTGCATCTTTTATGAGTAAAAATACCAGAATCCGCTCTATCACGCTGTCAAGAAGGTTCCTAATCCTATCAACAGTCGATTCACGGAGCCGTGGCGTCATCATTGCTCTTCCCCTACACCAAATCGCCACAGGAGCTCGATTCTCAGCCTTTACAATGAACGATTGTTGATCAAATTTGTTGATTTCCTTCGCGGAGGAGAGAGAAATAGAGGAAAATATGTCAATTTGTTGACTTTCCCTCTATCTTTACGAAGGAGAAAGAAATAGAGGAAAAGGGAGACACGACGGTAGAACCCTAACCCTTTTTTCTGAAATGAGAAACGTTTCCCTCGCGGATGTGGGATGGGGTGAGGAAGGGACTGTTTGGTTAGGGCTAGAATTGAATTGAACTGAAGGGTAAATATGTCAATTTTTTCAGTTTTAGAGCGATCAAATTTGATTTCTAGGGCGACAAATAGTGATTTATTTCTCTGCCCTCTTCTTTTAGTTTGTAAAATTACCATCATAACCTCATATTCGTTAAGTAACTCAAAATAACCATCCTACTAAAAACAGGTCAATTGGGTCAATCTCCAATTGAACCACTAACCCGCCACCGAGTCGTCTGATCAAAGCGAATGGTCAAGTACGGGTTAACAACCTTGCTTACCAAAGACTTTTCTAGTAGTGTTTTGAAAGTCATGGTAGATGAGGCGAGCTACGCTAGAATTTACTTTTTGAAAAACATTGGTCCAACCCATTAAAGGAAAGAAAGATTAGCAGACCCAACTTTTGGGCCAGGAATTCGTATTCCATTCCCGCTTCCAAGTTAAAAAAAGGCAATGGGAGTAACGGGCCTCTCCTCTCGGAAAAGAAATGAAGTAACTAACGGGCCTCTCCTCTCCACAACGTTAATGCCTGCTGCTGCTGCTGCTGCTGCTGCTGCTGCTACTGCTACTGGCTACAAAGCCAGAAGAAGTTAGCCTCTCCTTTTTAACTATCCTTTTCCCTTTATTTTAAGTTTTTTGTCTCTCTCTCACTCTCTCGTTCACGGAGCTGACCGATTTCGGTAATTGGAACCGAGGCGTAATTAAAAAACCAAAAAAGGCTCGAAAGCCTAACGTATACTTTGGTTTGGTCGGACTAGATCTCCCTCTCTTCTTACAACTTATATACCGCAGCAGTCCGCAGCTCGTCTCTACTACTCCTGTCTGTCTCATCCACATTTATCGCTTTTTGTCCGAAAACCCTACCATGGGCTCCGAGATCGGCGGCGACTCCCTCAACGACCACGACCACGACACTTCCAGAGCTTTGGTAGATACATCCGCGCCCTTCGAGTCCGTCAAGGAAGCCGTCACTCTCTTCGGCGGACTCGGCTACTGGAAACCTTCTTCCAACCCAAGCCTCTCCGCCGCCCAGGTAATCAATCTCTCTCCCTCCCACTTCCCCCCCCCCCCCCCCCCTTCTTTTACATTTTACTAGGGTTGATTCTGGGGGAAAAAATAGAGAATCTGGAACCTGGGTTTTCCCCTTTCTTTTTGCTGTGAATCTGCGGTGGAATTTGGCATTGGCTGCTAATGGGTTTAGGCACAATCTGTTCGTGGGCCATCCTTTGATCTATAAATAAACCTGCTTTAATTTTAGAGTGGTTGGTATGGTATGGTATTGGTATTCTGTAGTTCTGATGTGCTCATTTCTGGTGGGCGTATCTGTTTCTTGTCGTTTCCTGTCTAAAATATATGCAGAATGAAATGGTGGACGAAGGAATGGATATTACTAGAGTAGAGGAACAAGCTCAACAACTAGAGAACGATCTGATTGTCAAAGAAAGAGAGACACTTGATGTTCTCAAAGAGCTGGAATCAACGAAAGCAATCGTCGATGAGCTCAAACTGAAGCTGCAGAGTCAAGCAACTGAAGTCAACCTTACACTGCAGTCAACAGCAGGTGGTACTGGAGAGGAAGAAAAAGTATTAGTTGATGAAGATCAAGATGCTAATCATGGCGCCGCAGAAATCGACACTAATTGTCCTTCCTCCACTCCCGGTTTCATTCTACTCGAACTCAAACAGGCCAAGTTCAACCTGTCTAGAACCACCAGCGATCTGGCTGACATTCGAACCTCCGTTGAACTGCTCAACAAGAAGCTGGAAAAGGAAAGAGCTTCACTTGACAAGACACGCCACAGGCTCACCACTAACTCTTCCAAGATATCCACCCTTGAGCAAGAGCTCCACAACACAAAAGTGAAGCTTCGAGCAACCAAAGGTTCCGAAATCGATGATGGTTGTTCGGAGAACCACCCATTGGATATATCCAAGGAACTCCAACGGCTGAGTTCTGAGATTGAGCAGTTTAAAGTAGTGGGGGATGCGGCAAGGTCACAAGTGTCGAGAGCTCTGTCCGAGATTCAACAGACGAAGACCAGGATTAAGACAGCTGAGATCAGGTTGGTTGCTGCTAGGAAAATGAAGCACGCAGCTAGAGCAGCGGAAGCTGTTGCTCTTTCCGAGATCAAGGCATTGTCGAATTCGAAACCAGATGAAGGAGTGGTGACTCTTACGTTTGAAGAGTACTCGTTGCTAACTTGCAAAGCTCGCGAGGCTGAGGAGTTCTGCAAGAGAAAGGTTGTCAATGCCATGGTTGAAGTCGACGAGGCAAATGTTTCCAAGATGGATGTGTTGAAAAAGGTGGAGGAAGCTAGCGAGGAAGTGAAGACTAGTAAGGCTGCATTGGAGGAAGCTTTGAGTCGGGTTGAGGCTGCAAATAAAGGGAAGTTAGCGGTTGAGGAGGCTTTAAGGAAGTGGAGGTCGGAGAATGGGCAGAAGAAAAGGTCCGTCCATAACCATACCAAGTTCAAGACCTCTTGCGCTGCTTCATACCATCATCGTAGGGATTCATCTTGCCTCCGGGATTTGAATGGGTTGTCGTCGAGCCTTGCTTCCTCGGATGGACCACTACCTGCGTCGGTCCCTGTGCTGAAGACTACGTTGTCAATTGGGCAGATTCTGAGCAGGAAGTTGCTGATACCTGAAGAGTTTGAGAGGGTGGAGAGAGGTGGGGCGATGAGGAGGAAAGTGTCGTTGGGGCAAATGTTGAGCAACAAACAGAATGGTGAGATGACGATGATGCCAAATTCGAGCAGGAAGGCAGCTGAGTGCGATGGTTCTTCTTCTTCCTCCTCATCCTTGAAGCGTATTTCGGGGAAGAGGAAGAAGTTCGGGTTTGCTCGGTTCTCGTTGCTGATGACGAAGCAAAGTAAGAAGAAGAAGAAGCCTAGTTTGGATCTGAGGTAAAAGGGCCAATGCAACAGTCAACAAGAATGTTTAAGGCAAGGCGAGTACTGATTAACTCCGTTAAACTGTGTGTATGCCTGTTTGCTGATGCAGCTGTTTCAGCAGGCTATGATGGTTCATTACCTATCTACCTATCAATCGTGTTTGTAAAGCTTGTGTAGAGGCGAAACTTCATGGATAGTCGTACTTATTTTGCTGATGTACTTATATGCTAGCTGCTATTTGTTCTGACTTGTGCGTTGATTCTTTCTGTGTAACTTCGTGGGAGAGTGACGAGAGACCAATGGCGGCGAACAATGTGAGTATTGGTTGTTTCTGAACGATGTCAACCATGAAAGATTCTTGTTTCGGGTCTCGTTTTGTCACTTTCGGAACATCGAGTTGGCTGGTGTCAAGTTCTGCTTGTTGGTTAGTGCATTATTGCTATCATATCATCATAATTTTAAAGGCAGAACATACTACTGTTTTTTGGATGGTAAACGTATAAGGTAAAGGGATGAAAAGAAAGTTGTGAAACAGGTTTTTAGGTCGTGCTGGTTTGGTAAGTGGAATGGTCTAACCGACAGTACAATTGGTTTATGACATATTTAAAGACAATCAAATGTGTAAGGAAGTACAATCGATCTAACAGACCGTACAATCGGTTCATGTCAGTTAGAAAAAAATGTAAGTAAAAAATCATTAATTAAATAAATTTAGACAATATATATGACATATTTGAAGACCATCTTTCTAATATACATTCGTATTAAAATAAAATATAACATTCTAAATAAAGTGAAAAATCATCATATTTAAAAACCACGTTTAAAGCAAAATTCAATAGTTTATATTTAAATCCAACAAATAACATAAACATAAAAACATTCATACTTGAATCAACAAATAACATCAACATTTAACTTGCAAATTTAAGAAATTGGCTATGTCAGTCATATCAGTCACATTCCAACCAATTTTGTGATCGATACATGTTGAATCTGGTTGTATCGACCGCCATGTTACCAGAATGACAACCATGAATGAAAATAACGAGTTGTTTTACCATAAATGGTCACTTACCTCGTGGTAACTAACTTAATAGTCAATTATGTGTTAAATTTTTTTAACATATGTGTTTACACCAATTTAACCATGTACCACATCGATTAAATATAAGTGATTAAATGGTTTTATAAGGCCAGCTTAATTATAATAATAAAAATCAATTAAGATGGGCCACGTAGATTAAGGTTTTGGGCCTACTAGCAATATGTTCCAAAAATTGGCGAAGTGTTGGAGCACCACTCATGGTATAATCAGGGGGTGGTATGTCAGGTGGTCGGGGGAGGGGGGGACCGTCACACCCATGATGTGGGAGAGAGGGGGGGGGGGGGGTACTACTGGCAATGTTAGGGCATAATCGGAGTAGTTTAAAGCATAATCGGAGCAGTTTAAAGCGTAACCGTCACTCCAAGTCAGCGGAGCAGTGTCTCGAGCCAGTTACTTCTGGTGACTATAAATAGGAGGTGAAGATGACAGAGAAGAGCTACGGCGGCCATACCCGCCGCAAAACCGCTGCTAGTGGCGGACCCAAAAAAAAAATTCTCGATAATTTGTGATTTTCTTAAGCTCAGCCTGACAAAAGCAGGATCCTCAAAAAACTTAAGAGCATAGCTCTACTGTTCCGAGTACAAACTCTACCAGAACTACAATCAAAATCTTATTTTGAATACAGTAAACTCTACAAGAACTTCTAACTGAAATTTCAGGTTCCCCAGTGCAAAATAGTTAAAGTCAGCTCTCTATTGGCCTAGAAGAGCATCTATATCTCGCCGTCTCCCCTGAAAAATATGAGTGCATCTCACTTTCCATACAACACTAATACACCAACACCAAATAGGACTCCAAACCAGTCCTCGACCTCCAAATCAGTCCTCGACTTCCTTCCTTGTTGCTTCTTCTGCGCATCCAGCTAATGAGTGCCTCCCAATAACTTGGCCACTGATTGAAGCCAAAAACTGTTGCAAAAAATTTAAGAGAGTAAGAGCATTTGCAGAAAAGATGGGCTCTAGATTCTTCCTCAACCTGGCATAACACACATAGCGAGTCAGTAGTCTTCCCCCATTGTTTTAGCTTGTCTTTCGTGGTGATCATGTTCAACATGATTAACCAGACAATAACTCGGTTTCTAGGGATCATAAACTTGTTCCATATAATCTTTCACCAATCCACTTTAGTCTTCTTTGGTCCGATTGACAACCATAATTGTTGTACGGAGAATTTAGGCATAACCTTCCCCTCCCAAGATACCTCTCCTTCTGCGTTAATTGCAAACCTGAACTGGAACCATCCTCTAGAGTTGAGTAGCTTTCGCCATATCCATGAACTGGACTGAGAGAGAGGGATGTCAGATCTCCCTTTCAGTCTATGCTTTTGAATCCACGCTACCCAATAACTACCACTATTCATTAATATCAACCATAACAGTCTTGCTACACAAGCCATATTCCAGCTTCCCATATCCTTGAGCCCCAAACCTCCTTCTTGTTTAGGGAGAGTAATAAACTCCCAAGCAACCTTTGCCCTACCTGATCCATCTCCATACCAAAAAAATCTGAACATATTTTGTGGATTTGATCTTGGCAGGACAAAAATATGCATCCAGAATTGCACCAGAGAGTAAAGCATAGAGGAAATCAGTTGCAACTTCCCTGCATAAGAAAATAAAGTAAAATAAAAATTATATAACTAATAAAAATTATATAATTCTTAAATAAGAAAATACCCAACTCGTACAAGTTTAAAAAAGTTAATTATGTATTTTCATATTCTAACAAATATATATAATACATTTGGTGTCTACACTGCTCAACAAATTTGTCTCGGTATATCCTACTAGGCAATCATTCATGAACTGACACATATTGTACTTCTAAATTTGTTCTTGATGTAACTCAAAGCTGAAAAAATACTTTCAACACTTGTCGTACAACCATAAAATCAATACAAATTAAGGGTAATTTGTAATTAGATTAATTGAAAATAATTAAAGATAGAGAATAGGGTTTTGCTATTACATAGTGTTTAGAATTTATATTTATTAGTAAGAGTAGTGTTCCGGGTTTGAATTACTCAAACGACCACTTATATTCCCATGCACAAACTACAAACGAGATTAGGATAATCGTTCTTTCAAATTTCAGGGTGTCACGGACTATTAATTATAATTTTTGTCTATACGTAAATTACCACCGAGAGTTGGATAAATTATCTTCCAAAATTTAGGGGTGTCCCGGGACACCCCTAAATGCCCCTGATCAGCCTCTGACCTCTCTCTCTCTCTCTCTCTCTCTCTCTCTCTCTCTCTCTCTCTCTCTCTCTCTCTCTCTCTCTCTCTCTCTCTCTCTCTGCAAGTTTATTCCATCCAAGTAAGTACCCATGATCTTTAGATGAATTTAGGAGCTTGAACCATGAATTTAGGACTTCCATGAGGATTTCAAAATTTAAAATTGCTTGAGATTGGTAGGAGAATCTCTTGATAATTTTTGACCGATGCTAGGCGCAATCGATGTTTATGAATGATTGGTAATTTCTTATATGCGTGGAAATGAGATAGAATGGTGCTTATAATGATTTTTTATGTAAATATGCTTTGATGGATTGATGATTTTAAGCAAAACGTCATGCCAAAATTTTCGAAATTCTTGCTAGCACATTTCAAATTGAGCTTTAACGTCAAAGCTATGCCACATTTTGAAATTTTTGGTAGATGTTTTGAGATTTCGAAATCGTAATGGGAGTAGGACATTGTTAGTTTCAATTTCATTGCTAAGTTGGATTAAATGCATGTCATTTTACTTGTGCCAACTTATCATCATTTGCCTAACGGTATAACTTGGAGCTTTAAAAGATTTCAAAATTTTCAAGATATGTACTTCATACTACTTCTGCATTTTGATCTAGAATACTTCCTAACTTTATATGAGGTTCAATTAGATGAAGTATATCAATTATTATTTTGTTAATACGTATATAAGAAATTGTAAGATTAGCTTATAAAAAATATGTACTTCTTATACTTCTTATCTCCTATTATCCTCGTTAACTTGATTTCTTTTGAGCTGGAAAATGAAAGGATTCCCAAATGGATGAGACTTCATAAGAAGACAAGGAGACGATGTCGCCTCTTCATCACGAGGACCAATGCCTCCTAGCCCACCTCGATCTAAGCAAGAGTTTGTAGCAATATGACGGTCTGCACGACTCAACAGGAGGGAGCTAGTGATCGTGATTGAGGAGGGGGAGAATTTGAGGGAGTCGGAGTCTCAATTCTTATTCATTTAAAGATCCACCTATAACAATAGTGGAAGGCTCATCATTGTATAGCGGAAGATCGAGGAGCAGAAGTGGACAACTGCCACCAGAGCCCGAGGTGTGGTAGACTGTCAACGAGCTAGAGATTGATGAGGACATACTAGAGGCACCCCTGCACTCTTTCCTCCAGTTCCCATGGGCGGTTCTAGTGCCAGGAAGGTGTAGTGATGGAGATACATACCGGTGGACCACTAAGGAGAGATGAACTGTGCAGATTTTGACCAGTACCAAGGATGGGGAGCACAACTGAGACATAGACTCGACGATGCCGGTCTCTGGTCATTATTCAGTATTAGAGACGAGAGCAACGATGTTCTCACTCAAAATTTTCTGGTTACATTAGTACTGGGAGCAACGAGTAGCTCAAGCCAGAGGTGCATCTCCCATAGATTGGCGGAACGCTGGGCGGTGATCCTGTGCAAGTGATGATGAACGCGGCGAATGAAGATGACACATAGAACACTCGGTTATAATAGCTTTACCGAGAAGCTAGGGATCTGATACCATCATAGGGAGGGCTCACTCTCCGATGTTAGCCTTGGAGCATACTGGGAGACTACAACACAAATGACTATCTTCCTGGAGATATGAAAAACCATAACACGAGATCCATGAGCTGGTTTGTTGCAGGATACTCTTCACCGACCATAATCCAGCTGCTATTCCTCAGGTTTGTGCACTACTTCGACCGAATAAGTTTTAACATGAGGCAAAAGGGAGATGGTGGTAATGTGACCACCAATGAAATGGTCTTGTACCATGATTTGGTACATACTGTCTGTAACACCCCGAACATTTTCCCGACGAATATATTATCCGCTTTGAGCCTCAACCCTCACGGTTTTCGACTTGGGGTGCAATTCAAGGTGACTTCCCATAAGGTCACCTATCCTTGTTGTACTCCACACTGAGCACGTTTAACTTCAAAGTTCTCATAAGAAAGCCTCCATTTCACCCCAAAACACTTCTTGTCAATTAAGGCCGGTTTCTTACTTATGAACCATGGATCTCTCCCGTACTTTGTCGATGTGGGATTCGCCTAAGGTGTTACATACACCACCACTTGGGACTCAACACCCTTTATGAGGTTTTCCCCACCATCATTCAAGAGGGATGCGGAGAGGCTCTGATACCACTTGTAACACCCCGAACCTTTTCCTGACGA